TTCTCCACGGTGCGCAGCGCTGGGAAGGGCACCCTTTGGAATGCCACTGTGCCGCTGTGCAGTGTCTCAAAGAATGCACAGCTCTTGTGTTGTTTTGACTGAAGCTGCTGGTGATCAACAGGCCGAGGTGCTTTGCAGAGAGCACTGAAGTGACGCTCAGTGATCTGCATAAGCAACACATGTTTTATATTATCAACATCCCCTTTGTATTCCAATTGCATGTCAGTACTGGTAGAACTTACTTCTGCAAAGACCAGCTCCAGCTTTGAAGCTCAGGACAATAACAAAATAACTTGCTATTTGTTTATCTTAGTAATAAAATCTACCATCAACTACTTTTTGGTCATGGCCCTAACAAGAAGGCTGGCCAAAGGAAACCTCCTCAGTGAACAGGAGATGAAGGAAGTTGACTGTGGATTTTCTAAATCTAGTCCAAGAAGCTGATGCTTATGCCTCAAGTTTTCAGTTATTTTAGACCCCAGCTTTCCAAAAGACTGCTTGGAGGACAAAGAGAGAATGTAGCACTCACTTCTTCCCAGGATAAAGGTTTTGAGAGATGGAGCAGAGCCAAACACTACAATTACAGTTTTACTGAACCATCAGAAGCAGCCAAGGAGCAAGGGCACATGCACTGCCTCAGCATGGAAGGCTCTCCTAGTTGCTGTCTTCCCCAGGCATCCCTCCCTGCTTTCTCCTCTGACCCTGCCTCTACTCCTTCTGCCACATGGTCAGCCCTGTGGATTATCCCATGCCTTGGGGCTGGAAGAATGTGTGCCCTTGTACTGTACTGTGAAGCCATCTGGGGGACTGCAGTTGCATGTGCATAATCACCAGATAGTTTTGAATTGAGATTTTTTGGTATATATATATATATATATAAAACATAGCAATGTCACTGCAACTATAGGCATGGTACAGGGGAATAGATCAAGGGTACCTTTTGTACATAATCAATCCTTATGCATTAGTGCTACATTTCTGAGGTAGAAAAAGGCTGGCTTATAAAGCACACCTAAGCAGACAATTTCAACTTTTGGCATCTCTTCTCCAGTATCTCCACCACTGGTGAACATGTGAAGGGAATGTTGGCTCACCGCAGCCTGGCTTAAGGGATTTTATAACAGAGCATCCCAATAACACCATAAACTTACATCTAAGACTTCTAATATAGCAGCACAATTTATTCCCATTCCCGGTTTAATGGAACCTTCCTCATTGTTTTCACAGCATTCCAAGGGTTGGGGTTTTTTTCTGCTGCATGAAAGGGAAAAGCTCCCTAAGGGGTTCCTGAAATGCCTTGTGAAGTTGACGTGACTTATTCTATCATCAGGAGAATGATAGGGGACTGAATGTCTTTTTTTTTTTTATCTTCAAGTTTCTTAATATGGCATAAGGGAGTAAACTCTCAATTACACAAAGGCAAATACCAAGAAATCTGTCAAAATCAATAGAGTTATTCTGGACACCTGAGTAATTTGTCCCTTGGTATGATTCAGTCTCCAAAATCCACTCTGAATATCCATAATAACTGTTTGCTATTCATGTCCATTTTTAGCTCTGTTATAATTCTGATTTTCTTCCATGTTTCACAAATAGCTTAAGTCAGTTTCTTTCAGATGATGCTGTTTCCCCAACTTGGCTTCCCTATGAATAACCTCCATCATCACTATTCTACTTTTGCTTGAATGTTTCATTTTTTAACAATAAACATCTATCCCAGGTGCCTTATTTTCAGCTTCATTAAATGTTTTACTAGTTCATCTTGAGTCATGTCAATATTTACCTTGGACACAGATCCATATCCTTTAGTTTCTAATACCAAAATTCTCCAGACAAGCTTATTGTTCCTGGCTTGACTTCTACGAGTCACAGCTTAAAACTTTTTTTGATGTATTAAACAAGATGCAAATTCACTCAGCCATTCGCTTTGCCGCCTGCTGCCAGCTATGCCTATTCCAAACATCCCTGAACTGATTCACTCCAATTTCTGAGCACACACAGGCCCCAAACCTGCACTCAGTTACCCTGAGCTAGTTTCAAAGCCATTTAATAACAGCAATTAGCAGAAGAGAAAGCAGAAACCAGATATCAACCTCTTGGCTACAGTACCACAACAGACCATTTCTACTGACCTTCTGCATCCCAGAGAAAGGGTGTCAGGAAACAGAAGGGGTTGCCAGCTCCTGCACTGTTGTGTTGGCCCTCACTGTGCAAACATAGATGCTCTTCTGGGGGATGGGACTGCATTTCCTCACTCCAGCTCTCTCCCCTGCTCCTGATCAGCAAGGCTGACTTGTGCTGAGCCATGCAAGAGATACCTGAGGCATCTCAGTGTGCTCATCCCCAAGCACTCCTGAGCTGCTGCCCACAGAGCCATCCGCATCCAGGCTGCTCCTCACTGCTGTCAGCACACTTGCTTCAGAAAAGTTGTTCTAAACATGCACGAGACAACAGAAAACAAAAGTTTGAGAAGTGGAATTTCCTTGGTTAATTTCTGCATCTTTACACTGAGTTTACTTCAGGTCCTTTTTTCAAAGCAGTAGCACAAAAAAAGGTAGTTTGAGGTTTGATATATTTATATTGTATATTCATGTACTGCACTGGAATAAAACATTTTGAATTTTATATTGGATATAAAAAAGAAAAGGTGTCAAGCTGGGAAGGTGCTTTGAAAATAACAAAGGACTTTATGTGGGATTGTTTGAGGTCATTCTATCTGTTGTTCCTGACTGTATTTAAATTCCTCTTTCCAGTTTGAAATGCCTTTGTCACTCACTGAAAGCAGCAGTGTGGATGAGCAGGGCAGCTGGGAACACACCACAAGGGGATACATGGGGAAAAAAGCACTCGGATTTTTGGACATCTCCAAAGCAAATATTATACTTGTGCCATCAACCCACATTTGTCAAGAGGTGTCAACATGGCCTAGAGAAGCAGTGGGCCATGTTCTTGTGAGAGGGGAAACGATTTCATATCATGCCATCCTCCCTGAGCAAGATAATCCCAGGGGCAGGTCAAGGAGATGGCTTTAGATGTTACCCCAGGTGTGCAACAGTGTTCAGCAGAAATCCAGGATATTAAGCTGAGTTCAGAGTGCAACTATGTCAGTGATGGCCACACATCACTGTGTGGCTGATACATGGGGCTAGTTTTGAAATCACTTGTTTGGGTGCTTTGGCAATAGCAGCACAAGTGAATAATTGCTGCAGTGAGCCCATGTGCCATTGCCACCATCCCAGAAAGAGCCCATCCACACAGCGAAATGAAGCTCATATTTCTGTGCACCCCTGACCCCACTGCAGCTCACAGACTGCTCCCCTGTGCTTTGTCCAAAAGGGCTGTACTGCCAACAGGACAACTGAGGGTTTATTGGGTTTTGAAAGAATTTGCTCAACTCCAAAGCAGAGGTGGTTATTTTCCTCTTTTGGTCTAAACGAGAATCAGAGATAGAGATGTGAGCTTGAAATGGGGCTATTCAAATTCCTCTGTCTGCCCTATGTCCCCTGCACATAAACTCCAGTGGAGAAAAAAGCAGCTTGAGAGACCACTGTATCCCACAAACACACGGAGCCAGAAGATAAAAGGGAATGGCTGAATTTGCTAGATTAAATACAAGTTTCATGTAAATGATCACTTACAGACACCTAATAAATGATTCTCATTGTCAGAGATTTTGCTCTACCATTTTTGTTTTGCATATATATTTAGGAGCCTTTTCCCCTTAGAGGATAATGTTCAGGTTTTAAAATTTATATTAATCTGTCACTACATTAATCTGTCACTCTGTGAAAGGGCTTCTTTTTTTAATAAAGTGTCTTTTTTTCTTTTTAATGTGCTCCTGTATCAGAATGGAGTATTTAGGATAAGCTCTTTCAACTGCAGTACTGCACAGGATAGGATGACATGTAGGAAGGCAGCTTTTTATGGAGTATGATCTCTTTTGACCCAAACAACTAATCAGAGTTTTAGAGTTTTTGTATTTACCCTGGCTGGGGTCTGTCAAAGGGTCTTCACTGTAAATCTCTCTGCTCCTAAGCACAGTCTTCATTTCCAGAGGAAAGGAGGAATCCACCAGGGACAGAGGCTTTGCTGACAGACCCCCAGTGCTTGTTGGCAAGAGTGTTGGCCCAAAAGCTCTCAGAATGAGGTCTGAATTTGATCTGTTTTTTTTTCTGTTGGTTTGGGTTGGGTTTTTTCCTCTCCATTATGCCAAGGGTGCTACTCTAAAAAAGCTACAAATTGCTCCTTTCAGAGCAAAGGTTTTTGTCAGGCTCTGCTAGGCACCATCAGATCTCATCCCCCCACTGCTCTCCATCCCACCTTCCAGCTAGAGGGTACCTCAGGCAGTGGAGCTGCACCATTCCCACCCTCACCTCCCTGTCTGGTGGAGCTGAGAAAATCCATCCCCCTCCGAGGTCCAGCCAGTGTGCTGACTGAGGCACAGAGATCAGCTCCATCCTTCCATCTCTGCTTGGAATACGTACAGGGAGAGAACAATACAGGAAGGGACTACAAGGAACACAGACTGCTGAGGATCCGCATCCAAGCCTCACATTCCATGTCGTTGCTGTCCTGGACAGCCACCTGAGCCAGCTGCTCACCCAGGGTCTCACTCATGTCTGTACACCCAAGCCCCTGCGGCCCCAGAGGGGCCCCAGAGACAGCCCTGCTCTGTGCTGTCTCAATATTTCTTGTTCCAAGTTTTGTAGATTTGTGACCAAACTAACATCAGGTTACTGTGCCCTGATCAATCAGTGTGTTTGCTTCCTCTCGTTCACTCTTTGCCTGTATACCTTCAATTATTTTTTCTCGCAATTATTTTCTCTTCACATCAAAATCACTGGAAGCATTATGATAATTTTTTCCTGCTGCTCAATATAAGCATTTTATTTGCTAAAATCCACTTGACTTCTTGAACAGCACAATGGCTTTACAGGTAGTATTTCACACAGGGCCCGTGATTTCAGTGCTGACTACAAGACAGAGACATGCCATCCCACCTGTTTGACTTCTGCTTTCCCTGCAGTTCTGGGAATTTCTATTTCACTCATCTTCATTCCCACCAGCTGTCCTGCATTTGGCCACATGATTGCTTTCCTCCTGGAACAGAGGGGACAGTCATTCAGCCTGCAGGTCATACCTAGATTATCTTTAATCACTGTGCAGCTTTGCTGACCGCAATCTCATTTCTTCTTTCAGAATGAGGGAAAAACCCTCCACGAAAAGACAGGGAGTGCAAAGATGCTTCTGAATTAGTCACCGAAAAAAGGTTCAAGGCTCAATTCTTATTACCAGTCTCTCCAATGGAAACACAGGGTGACTCCAGTAAAATCAGTGGGACTGCAATGGTGTAGCCAAGATCCAGATCAAGATATAGGTTTGGGAATATGCTGCTCTGAGCATTTCATTTTATTAGACATCTCATCTCCTGCTTTATGAGTTATTTTGAAGGTTTACTGTATCCAAGTAGGAGCAGGAGTTCAGATTATGAACTTTGATCGCTCATGGTTTATTCAGTATTTTTAATAAAGTTTGAAAAGGTTCCCTTCCATCAAAGAATGTCCCCTTTGATTAATCAATTGAATTTGATTTTTCCTTCACAGAGAATACAAAGCAGTGTACTCCTTTGCCAGTTGTTTACAGGCAGCTTTACAGCACACAACAGAACAATTATTTTCTAAGTATAAGAGCTGTGATCAGAAATGTTAATAAACTACTCAATAATGCAGCATCTTTTCTTTCCTTAAAAAAAAAAAAGCCAAACAATAAGGACATATCAAGCTATTTTTAATATAATCTGCATACTTTCCAAATAACATATTCAGGAAACAGAGTCATCTTAAATGGACTTCTTCACATTTACAGCTGTAACAGCTGCAGTAGCAGCTCTGTTGGACTTGATTTTATTCAGTGTGCAGGATCAACATAAAATCTAGGCTGAAAATTAAAGGGAGTAAATGTCCCCCTGACAGTCAAGAGAACGGTTTTGGTCCAAGAGTATTTCTGGCCACAACTCACTTTCAAAAGCAGCTTTGTCATCTGTGCCTGGCCTAGTCCCACTAAGTACTATTATGATTTGTTACATTTTCTGTGGAAACGGGAGGCCATTTATTAGCCCCAAGGTATTGTATTGAGCTTCAATTATGTAATAGGCATTATCCTGCTGAATATCTGAAGCTTTGTAAGAAAGTTTTAGTTCTGGAAAGAAACGTACAAGGTTCTTAAATGATTTTGAGGAAGATCAAACTCCCCCTTTTTTTTTGCTAGTTGAAAGAGGAAAGGTCCCTTCTTGATATAAATCATGAAAAATTTGAATAGACTTTCTTCTAAAGAAAAACTCCTTTTTCTTTGAAAGACATTGATAGCTTGGGATTCAAGCAGAAAAGAATAAAAGAAGAAATAATAATTTCTTCCTAGAAGAGAACATGATAGGTATGCTGCCAAATTAGCAAGATTTTAATTTAATTATAAGCGAGGAGTACACGTGTGATTTTCTTGCTTATGAGTGAGGAACAGGGGTCCCTCCCATACATGGAAGAGGAGGGGGCAGGTACTCAGCTGGGTTAAGCCCTCCTAAGGCTCCCTTGGTGCTGTGTTCACAGCCCATGCATAGCCTGTCGAGCTGCCCTTCATGTTTTAACAATGCAAACTACTGATACCTAATCAAATCTCAATAATTCTGGCTCACCTGAGCCATCTGCACCTCTCAGACTTGTCAAGATTAACTACCATAAAATAACTAGTTAACTAGTTACCTGACATCCACAAAATACCTGTTACCTGACTGCCATAAAGTAACTAATAACCAGTCAGTGGGCATCACCCTCCTTATATTGTCCCTTAGAGTTTGTTTAAAAGAACGCATAGATTTTAAAAAGCACTGACGTCTAAATAAAAATTGATCAGCTCCAAGAAATTTCACCCTTCACAAGCCATTTTACATGATTGAAGGCTTCAGCTTCCAGTTCTCAGAGGCTTCTCCAGCTCTCAATCACATATGAATTTTCCCCTGCTCTCTGTCAACAGCCAGACACTGCAGTTCCTGTAACTACCAGGTAAAAGTTAGTCCAGCTGTTGCATCTGACTTTTAATATTTTTAAACTAATAGCAAATACCCCCAATGCACACAATGCAAGTACAACACACACATGCAACAGCTGCTCTGCCTCATAGTAGTAAATGCAGTTACTCCTAGGTATTCTAAGGAAATGGAAAAGCCACGTTCCCAAGGCTGACAGATTTCTGAAATGATCTTTAACGTATGCTCGGTTTAACTGGTATTTTAGTAAAATGACTCTAGCTTTATGACAGCTGAATAGAAAGCAGAAAGTAAATCAACAAGCTTTTTGCAGATAGAATTCAGTATCTCAAAAATTCACAACCAAAGGAAATGTGCTGCTGAGGCTGCAGACCTATTACAAACCCAACCAATTCAAACACCACTGCTATGACTCAGTGTGACTACAGCCACAGCATAGGAAGCATAGGTGTGCTTGCATAGGTGTGTTTTGCCCTCTGTGAGGGCAAGGAAGAAGAAAGAAGGGGACAGCAATAGGTTTTAACCACAACCATACCACCCCCTGGTTATTTTTGCAGTGTAAATGAGTTATGTATGGATGAGATGCATTTGCATTTCATTCACCAATTCCATGCAGAGAAGCAGTTAAGTGCCCTTATTTTTCACAGTAAGAGAAAAGAAGCTGGATTCACAGTTTATCTTAAAAAAATGTGAACTGAAGCAAAATGCATGTGCAAGTAGCATGTTTCTTGCATCAAGCCAGAACCAGATTTTGTTTGCCACTATGTAAATGATGAGGAAGTCTGGTAGGGTCAGCAGAGCAGCAGCAGAGTCACATGAGTCACAGCATGCTGCTCTTTGGAAAGATTGCTCCATGGCTAAATATACCATTACAGTCGCTTCAAGAAAAGTTCTGCGTCAAGTTCTAATAAATGCTGGCAGTGACGCTGAGCTCTGAGCAACCATAAAGCCAAAAGGATGAACAGGAATTAACAAGTGACCTTAAAAACATATTGAAGAGAATGGGAATTTTGTCTGTGCAAGAACTGAAGAATGAGAACTTTGGTAGTGAAAATCATGACCTAATTTTTCTGCCACCCAAATTTAGCCACCTTTCAGATGGGTCTGGGGAACAAAAAAAGTAGAAAAGGAAACAGAATTTTCATCAGAATTGAAGCACTGGAAATACTACCAATCTCAACAAAGTCTGTACAAATTAGCACTCAACTACGTTAGTGCACAGAGTTAGTTTCACTATAATTTTTACCAGGCTTGTCTCAGTAAATAATGACTTGCTTCTCCCAGGGGGATGCATTAAGGAATCTACAGTTATCAGTGAACAGGGACAGCCACACCAACACAAGCCAATCCAACATCCCATCTCTATGATCAAGCAAAACAGTAACTCCAATAAATACCCCTTATATCTCCATCTGATACACACAGTGCTGAATCTGGAAGAGTGAGAGCTCAATAAACCATAAAAGAGATGCCCTTTGATCTTTTCTTTTTTTCAGTGGGGTCATAATTTAGTGCTACCACAACAGTAGTTTCAAGTAACTAAAACTGCTTATCAAATGTAGGTTTGCATTCTCTATCAACAAAGTCCTGAATTAGAAGAGATTTCATAATTCCTTATGAATTGCTCTCCTACCTAGTCTTTCCACTGGAAGTCTGATTAAATGAGTATTATTTCTTCTTAAGTGGTTTTACAGGTCGTTTATCTTAGATTTATGAGTATCAACCTACTTTAGAAGGTATTAGATAGCTTTAACATTTGACACGTATTCTCTAAATCATTTACAGTGCTCTCCATTTGCACTAGACGATCGGTAATCTTCTCAATATTAGGTTCTATTGACAATGCACCATATAGAGTCCTTATTATATGGTAATGATTTAAGATAGGTGCAGGACTGGGAACTAATAAATCCAAAAGCTCATTTTTGATTGTTGACACAGAGCTGAGGAATAATGTGCATCCACCTAAATCACTCTGTTTCTCAATAACATCACACACATACGTGTTTAACCCATTTGGAACATAACGCAGGGATGTGCAAACAGATCCTAATTCTTGCCTTGAGCCTGATGGACTTGTGTTTAAAGCTCTGTATGTACTCAGAGAAAACCACCAGTGGATGTGAGTCCCCTGCAGAGTGGAAGCACCTGCATCCACCTTTCAGCGTGTGGTGGGAGGAGCAGGGGGCTCAGCCTGGGTCTCCTGGCTCCTGAGCACATACCCAGCTCCCCCAGCTCATCATACGCTCCTCCTGCTACTCCAGCTCAGGCACACCTCTGTCATATCTGAGTTATGCCAAGGTAAACATGCCTGCTGAGATCAAGAAGCATTTTGTCTGAGTAGGGAGTTAGCAAAACCGAGATTAAGGGCCTAAAAACCATCCCCGTAATTTATATTTGGGAGACAATATTGAAAGATGACATATATAACAAAGACATATCTTCATGTAGCCCTACACAGTAATAATTTCACAGAAATATTGGCATTCATAGTAACTGAATTCACATGAATAATTGATTTGACTACTTCAATAGAAGATCAGCCCCTATATCTATATTACTCAGAAAATTAGAGCAGAAAATAAAAAAATTAAAGTGAGAGTCTTTGGTAGCGAATGAACATCTCTCCACTGAGTTCTACAGAATTAAAGTTTCATCTGCAAGCCTGTAATCCAAAGGTATGTCTTTGAAATGCAGTCAAGAGATCTGTATCAGTCCTGCTTTTATAGTATGTCACTGCAAATGGTTTCTAGGGCATTGGAGCTGCATGATCCAGCCATTTGTTAAGTTGAAATGTGACATTTCAAAAAAAGGCTGGAATGATCTCAGAGCAAAACCAACACAAAAATCTGAATCCCTCTTTTATCTAAACAGCCGCCTGGTAAGGAAACTCTAGTGAAAAGTTGGTGTTAGTGGCAAAACTGCCTGGTGACAATTACACACAACTGTAATTGTGAACAGCAGGGAAGTACAGGAAAGAGGTGGCTTTCTCTCATCTTGCTCATTCAGGAAAACAATCCAAAATCCTACCTCAGGCTAGGGGCTTGGCACGCCCAGTCAGCTGTTTACAAATGAAGTCAGTAATAGAGGAACTGGTCCTACTAAACACTGAGCACCCCAAACTCCCATCAATATAAAACATGTCATTCAAAGCAATGCAGTGAGCATCGCTGTTACTTTGTCTGTCTTTGGCAAGACCAGGGACAGATTTACTGGGAGAAACGAGGAGAAAAATATACCAAACCAAAACCATTATCCTCCCCAGTGCCATATACACACTTCTGCCCTCAACACAAGGGACTGCCTGTAACACCCCACCTACTACTGCACTCTCAGGAAATTACTAACGTGCTGCCAAACAGCAGAAACATCACAAGTTCCATTTTCCTCATTAGTGGAGCCAACCACATTCTGCAATGTGCCTATCTACATATTTTTAAACTTGTTTCATTCACTCAGTTCCTAAATCAGCAAAATTTAGCAATCTTCAGCATGTCTCTGCAATGAGTGAAATTTCTTTTAATATTGGGAAGAAGGGAGGAGGTCAAGAAGGCTTGGGAAAATTTGTTAGCATGATCTGTAATATGAATTTGGCAGAAAAGAAATTGAGAACATTTCTTTGGAAAACAATCAAAGGGCAAAGTTTTCCTCTTGGAGTTGCGTGGTAATTCATGACTTACATGCTCCAAAGAAATTTGCTCTGATGATTAGAATAGTAAACTATTCGCTGTCTGCTTGACAGACCAAAGATGGTCATTTTTCCTCCCTTTGTCAGTATCTTTCTGTTCAGGCAGGGCCATGTGTGTGTCCCTTGACACACAGATAAAGATTGAAGGATGCATCTCTGCTACGGAGGATTAATCCACGTTAGATACGGCATGAAATGAAACGACAAACAGTAACAATGCAGGTGGCAAAAATTGCGGCTCAGTCTTGCAGAGACTGACACGTGCTCTCTCTTACCTGGATCTCAGCTGCTCTTGCTGTATGTGAAAACTCAGTGTCTTCGTGGTTACCCACTCACTCCATCTCAACACACACAAGCGACCAGCAAAGCTGAGGATCTTGAAAGCCTCTGAGATGAGGAAACTTGAGCCTCCGGTATCCACTGCAGCTGGGGTTAATCAATGACACAAAATTACAGTGTGGAACTTCTTGCCATTGAATAGTGGGGTGGGCAGGAGCACAACTGAGGTCAAGAAAGGACTAGAAAAACTCACAGAGATCATGTCCTTTGATTTCAACTCACCACAGAGTCTGGGTGCATACTTTGGCTCCACAAGTTTCTAAAGCACCAATCCATGGAAGGGTGTGTCTTCATCCAGTGGAACAGGATGCCCTGCTCCTATACTCTTCCCTAAGCTTCTCCCATAGCCAGTGCCAAAAGAAGGACCCTTGGATCCTGCTCTGTCGCAATATGACATTTCTTATGCTACAATCAATGCAATCATAAAACTAGACAGGAAAATTGTCTTGATCGGAGTTTTAAAGACGTGATATTAAAATGTCAAGAAAATGTTGCATGAGACCTCTTCTGAAAGGGCTAAAAAGAGATAAAGTAAAACTTGAAATATTCACGTAGACCAACCTCAGTGAAGAGAGGCAAAATCCTGAGGCCATCTTTGCAGCTACTGAAGGAACAGACTCACCTAAAAGGTGCTTCAACCAACCTGCAGAGACTCCTGCCATGAATATCTACACCCACATCAGCATCCCAAACTGATACAGCTCCACCAGCCTTCTTCCAGAAACAGAAGTACCATATTTAGGTGAATAACTTTTTTGGACCATTCTTCCTCACAGCCTCCTGCTGTCAGGCCACAGGTCTCTCCTCTTGTTCCTCCTACCCCACCTGGCTGGGGTGCTTGTAGCAACTCACCTTTTCCTTTTTCATTCTTTGAATCAACTGTGGAAACACTCAAAAATATATTCAAAATACACACAACTCCCAGCAGGCCCAGGCAACCCTGTGAGTGCAGAATTCTGCAAGAACAAACCTCCCATTAAATGCACCCTCTTTTGAGTCAGCGACAGCACAGGCTTTAAAGCAGCACCACTATGCTGTAAAGCAGTCCACTATGCAAAATGTCAGGTTGTTTCTACCCTGGAAATATACTACATTCCGTTCTTTCTGCAGCATTACTAATTCTATGTCCTGTTTAATGCTCTGCATCTGAATGGGACTCTCAATTACATGAGTCACTGCAACTATCCTTTGATTTTTTTTTTTTTTTTGGTAAATGTGATCTGAATCCTCAACTGCTGGAGCCCAGAGCTTGCTCTGCACACTCAAAGGGTACAACAAAATGGGCTGAAATGCTACATTCAGTTTTGAGTTGCTCGTGCTTGGTCACTGCTGTCACCTCCTTGTGAGGGGTGGTGGAGGAGCGGAGGTGCTCCAGAGGTTGTTCAGGTAAGTACAACAGGTACACCTGGAGGGATGCATTTGGGTGATGCTGAATTCAGCCAAATCGTTGCTGAGGAGCCTGATTTAAACAGGTCAATGCTGACTTTGCCCATGTTTTGTGGTCAGGTTGGCAGTGGAGGTTATTGAAGAAAATGTCTTTTTCTCACTTGAGAAAAGCTGAATTTGAAGCCTATGCACAGTGGCTTTTCTGGGAAAGCAAATTTTCTAGAAATGCCAGTTACAATTTTAGGAAGGAAACAATGGGGTAATTTTCAAATTCAAATCAAGTTTTGGCACAGAAGAAGGGAAGCAAGGCTTGAGAAGAAAAGGTCGTGACAAAACACTATGAAACAGGTAAAAACTGTTTTCTCTTTTTGTCTCCGTACCCAACACCTTCAAGCCAGCTGCTTACTAGAAAATCTGCTTTCCATCTAAGCTTCCATCACTCTGTCAGTATAATGCAGGAAAGCACTGCCTGAAAATAGAGCTTTTCTTTTACTAGAGGATAATTACTAGTTGTTCACTCTCTCATTATAAAATGTTAGTAAAGACCAGTATTTTGCCATGAAAATGCTTTATATACTTTATATATACTTTTTATACTTTATATAGGAGAAAATATACTGTTTCGTCTGTCCTCTGACCCCTGGAAAACCACCAAAGAAGGTAGAACATGACACCTCTTCCCTTCATTTCTACAAGATCTGATTTAAATTGAGAGCTCTGCAGGGTTGGAACCCGTTAAGAACTATGTGCATTGTAACGAACTTTGTTACACCAACAGTGTGGCAAAAAAATAATAACCAGAGATTGTTACACCAAAGCCTCAACTGTAGATTCAAGGAATGACAGCATAATTATTTTTAGAGATGACTATAGCAGTAACTCAACATGACACAAGAGGCTGGAGAAACAGCAAGCCTGATTTAAACCAATGGAAAAGCCAGGAATGCAGAATGGAGACTGTTCTTAATGCACCATATTGCATCTGAACATTTTGTTCCTATCCATCTATCCAAAGCATGACGTTTTGCATTTCATATTAACATTCTGAAGACATTAAAGGATTCTTCAATTCCATGTTCATACGCTGTGTCAGAACATGCACTCTGACTGCTTAGAGAGATGCTACGTCTACCTTCTACTCATCCTCCCCCCTTCAGCCTCCTCACCATCCTCCTTCCCACTCCCCAAAAATCCCAGGGGCTATTTTTTATTGGTAGCATTATTTAGTTCAGCAGAAAGATGGTTACAAATATAGTTTGTGGGATTTGGACTTCACTTTGGATTTCTGCACTACCTCAGCTGTTATGCATATGTAGTGACTGCTAACAAATCATCACAGTATTACTTGATGTTCATATACAATTTCTCATCTTCAAAGCACTTTAAAATTTCCCAGAGGTTCCACAAAATCTGGGAGAGAGAGAGAGAAAGAGCTATGGGCAAAAGCCTTTGTTTAGCATTGGTCTTAACATAAATCACAGCTAGTCCTTTCTGCTTAGCTCTACAGCAGGAATGCTGCAGTCCTCGGTCCTAGGTCTGAAGTGTTAAACAATGCTAAATTGCCAATAACACATTTTCACTAAAAAGTATTTAAAATACTCTTTGTCATATGGACAGCTCTCTTCAAAAGTTCTGTTCTCATCTTTGAGTTCAAAACCAGGGAAATGGTGACATTAGCATAGTGTGCTGGGAGATGGATTTATGTTTTAAAGTAAAGGACATTTTGATTTCACAAAGTTTTGATAACAAAAAAAGTTTTATTTCATAGCAATAAAACAACAAAAGAACACAACCAGGAACAAAATTTTTATTTTTTTAAATGTAAAACTAATAATGTTTCAGGAATTCCTTCAGTGTTCAAAGCAGAATAAGCTGTTAATAGCTGAAAGGAAGCTCACAGTAATTTCCTGGTCAGCACTGGAAAGAGCAACCAAGAAAACTTGGAAGTGAATCATTACAGAGCTCACTTCTCCTTATGACCCACCAGGGGAACAATCTTTCTCAGTGCCCAGAGACCCAGTAAAAGACTCCGTCCACTTCAAACACTGAACCATTTCTTTACAGGAGCTCAGAGTCCACATGTGACTCGAACTCTGTAGAGCACACCCAGGCTGCTGGTGCCCAGGCACAGTACTGGATGTGGTCTTTAGCTGTGGGACCACTTCCCACTGACCAGCACATGGGAACGACCCTTCCAGCTGCACACTTGGACCCATGCCCACTGGGAGCAGCCCCTGCAAGGCAGGCATCACCAAATCAGACCTTTTAGGAAAAACGGTACAAGCCATTTTATTTTTTTTTTTTGATTGGACTGAGTCAGGCTTGCCAATTTTTTTCATTTACCACCATCAAAAAACGGGGATGAAATGAAACAAACTTTTTACTGAGTGGGAGACAAATATGAAAATGTAATGAATAGAACACTCTATTTCTCAAATATTCCACTAAACATGTAATCCAATCCAGCCTTTACGCTTCAAAGCATGACTTGTACTTCACATGCTTTCTAGGGCACAGAGTTCTGTGACACAATAAATACAGGCCACAGTTCTGAAATGTAGATGTTAAACCGGTTCTTCTGAGGTCATTTATTTGGTTGAATTCCTTTTGAGTATGAAACATTCTCTAATGTCTGGAAAAAATATGGAAACATTCTCAGATGAAAGGTTACATGCATTCCAGAAAAAATTCTCCTGAAATCTAAAGGAACTCTTCTTGGGAATGCTGAAGTGCAAACTTTTCATTTATGGAATTTTAATATGGTGGAAAGAAAGAAGTGTAAGCTATTAAGTGTGTTTTAAAGCTTAGGAAGCAAATTAAAATGAAATAACATACATATTATTAACGAATAGCTACAGTGAAAAGTGTGTAATTACATGTTAATTAAATTCTCTCCTTATATCTGCAGTGACTCAAAATGATGTTTCCTCTCTATGTATTCTCCTTGTAGCAACATTTCCTGAAAAAAAGCCATTGGTGTAAAGCAGAAACTGTTAAATATTTCACAACTGGAAGAATGAAAGAGAATGAAACTTCAACAGTTTTTTTTTTTATGTTAGATTTTCTATTCAGAAATAAACTGAACTTTGACATGTTTTGATTCTGTATCCTTCTGTTTATAATCTTCAACTTAAGCCTAAACTAAACAACAACGCTGGCAGAACACAGTAAATTTGAGGAACTGAGATGAACTACTTCTAGGTAAATGTTAACAGAACCACTTTCCTTTATACAGAAATAATTATGTTCAGGCAGGGAGCCAGCTCTGTGCGTGCCATCCCCTACTGCCCCATTCCTGTGAAACCCAGCATTGCCTTTCTTATCTGGCTATTTAGGAGTTTTTAATTTTTCTGTTCTCCGAGTCTAAGCTTCTTCCTGTGTTTGCAGCTTTTCATTTACATCTGCCTGTAAAGAAAATCAAAAGAAAGAAGTGGTTATGATGGAGCTATCTTGGGCTGCACATTGTCTTTGTGGTTTTGACACACTGTAGTGCAGCAAGGCAGACATTATCCTACACACCTTCCTGTTTTGCAGACATAACGGTGTTCCAGCCTGGACTTATGTGATAACACATTATCACATTGCCGATGTATGGCATGGCTGCCATCAGCAGGAAGTGATCTGGGACAGCCATTCCTCACGTAACCTTGCCTTGGGAGATAGGATAATTTGCCTGTATTCTCAGACAGCCTTTACCAACAGACACCAAACCAGAAAGATTGCTTTGGGATTTGGTTGTTGCCACTGTTTTCCATTGCTGCAGATGTTTGTTCTCTAGTGTAATGTGTTTTATTGATACATTGCTGGAATTAGAACAATAAAAAACATACTTCTGTGATGCTGCTTGTCTGACTGAATTACAAGCAAAATTATGAATGTGTATCTCGTTCTGGAAATTCAGACTGCTGTAGACATGGAGCATTTAATTTGGAATGTAGCATTTGTGGGGAAGGTACAAGTGTTGGGACATATTTTAGCGAAATCTTTGGCAGTGATAATGTTTAGCAATCTATGGCATTGGGAAATGTGGGATCACTGGATAAAGGGCCACAAATACTGGAGGTTTATAGGCAATTTACATATATTTCTCAATATCAGCATTCATTACTCCAAAAATACAAGAGAGACAGAAGGAGTGCAATGACTTTAAGAGTCACAAAGTTTTGCTCAGACAAGTGGAACAGGCTCAGAGGTCCTTTACAAACTCTGCATAAACTATTCCAAAACTTAAGAGTTGCATTCTTAATGGAATTCAGGCAATTTTGATAAAGCAAATGGATTTGTCCCAGAAACATGCAACATTTTAGGGACTTTGTGTCTTGTCAGTCCCAGAAGTCCCTACCAGCGCTGTTCTGCAATCTATCAACAGATGACGACAGTTAAAACGCTTTCAAAGTTCTCAGTAGCTCAGACTGGAACCAAAAGGCTGGAATTTCCCTGTCAATTTTGTACCTTTGCAGATGACCTTCACTACAGTCAATCCAACCTCAAATATCACCAAATATGTCTTCACCCCTTTACATTATGTGTGTATATTTAGTTGTTCTGCTGTGGAACACTGATCCTTAGGCTAATCCTCTTTTACCCTCCTTCACTATGGCTGCTGCTGAGACCACTGAGTGATATCAGAATAAAAGTTATTTTCTAGACTCAGTTAGAGCAACAGCTGCATTGTTAATGCGTATGTAAAGACACAATGCAGACTGTGAAATCACAGTTCACACATAACAAAAAAATGGTATGAGTTTGATCATGTATCAGGTAAAAATCTCATTATAAGATGACTTCAGAGGTCAAGAAACTGAGAAAACAGGTGAAAAAGATACACTTGTGAAAGACTTAAAAACTGAAGGGAAATTATTCTCTGTGTATACACCCAGAGTTGCAAAATAAGAAAAAAATAAAGCCTTTTTCTCATCTGTGCAGTTTTTGTAAAGAAAAAACTCTTAGCACTGACACTGATGGCATCAAAGTCAAGTGAAAACCAGGAATTTTATTTTTTTTCTACAGGTAGGGACAGGAATAAGACAACACAGGCCAGAGGTTCCCTCCTGTTTCTATAGACATGTTGAAATGGAGTATGAAATCAAACAGATAGATCTAATGATGGCATCATTATTCTTATCTATATTCTCCATTCATGTGTAGTCTATGTAAAAGAACTTATCAACATCATAATATTTTCAGATAATATTAGCTATTTCTTAAACTGCTGCTTGGTCAATAGTGTCTAATGTGTTGTATCTGAAGTTCAAAGTGCCACCTGGTTGTTGCAAATAAGACCAAATTCCAGCAGTTCCTTGGTGGAACTCTGTTCTAGTCGGTTTGTTTTCAGTAATTTCTTATTTAAGTTCAGTGTCAATAGCTTCCTTCCCTTTCATGAACCCCACAGAAAGAAATCATGGACCCCTCAGGGTCTCTAGCCCCCATACTGACACCTGATCTGTTCCATTGAGGCAGCTCTTGTACAGTCACGCGTTGACCAAACAAAGCTTAGAATTGGCCTAAATCTGTTTTTTCTTACACAGATTGAAGGATGTGTAACACAGATGCATCAAACAATTTATATTAAGCACAGATTTCATGTACTCCATCACAGCAGCTGGTCCTGAACCTCTGAGAAGGAATTTTATCACTGACATCACCGAGAGTGGGATTTGGCCTGTGTTTCTTAACACATAGTAATGCTGAAGATATATGTTGTTATATTACTGAATATTTTTTATCTTATCTCATGTAAGCTGACTAAACTAGGAGTTATTTATAGAGGCTAATTCACATTTTTACAGCATATGGATGTGCTTTTTGCCAGCTTTAGCACGAATACAGTTTATATTAATTAAGGCTGAGCTAGCTAATTAACCGTAGTTCATCATGGCTAGGCTTCGCGAACAAAGATTTGGGAAGGCACTATCCACATTTGCTACAGGCTTATGAGGCCAATACGTGACAGACATATCTGATTGCAAAAGGCACAGCAGAAAGACTCCTTAGATGGTGTATTCTGCAAGGCACGGTTCTTTCTGTGTTGCCTTTTTTCCTCGAGAGTGATCCTGCGTGTGTTCTCGAAGGAGACATCTGCGTTATAGATGGCGTGTCTCCAGGCCTCCCGATTTGAGGCCAGAGTAGACCAGTTATGGTGATCAATATGGCCAAGGCTGAGATGTTGTTTCAGGGAGTCCTTGTATCTTTTCTTCGGGGCTCCTCTCATGCGGTAGCCAGTGGCAAGTTCACCATAGAGCAGGATCTTAGGGAGGTGGTGGTCCTTCATCCTTGAGACGTGCCCGGCCCATCGCAGCTGCGTTCTCAGTAACATGGCCTCAATACTTGTGACAGCAGCTTGCTCTAGTACAGATGTATTGGTCACATAATCTGACCAGCGGATGTTAATTGTATGGAGGCAGCGTTGATGGAAGACGCAGGTGGTGGCGGTAGATGACCCATGATTCGGAACCATATAAGAGAGTAGACAGCACTATGGCTTTGTAAACACTGATCTTGGTGTTTTTCTTCAAGTGTTTATTACGCCATACTCTTTTGTGGAGTTTTCCAAAAGTACTATATGCCTTAGCTAACCTGTTGTCTATCTCTCCGTCGATCTTACCATCTGAGGAGATGAGGCTACCAAGGTAATTAAACTGCTGGACTGATTTGAGCTCTGATTGGCCAATGGTGATGTGGGGATGATGGGGGACTTCCTGAGGTGCAGGTTGATGGAGGACCTCTGTTTTCTTTAAGCTGACTTCCAGCCCAAAGAGCTCAGCAGCATCTGCAAAGCAGGATGTTAAACGCTGCAGGGCTGCTTCTGTGTGGGCAACAAGGGCGGCGTCATCAGCATAGAGCAGTTCCCGGACAAGGTAGTTTAATGTCTTGGTGTGGGCCTTCAGTCGCCTTAGATTGAATAGACTTCCATCAGTACGGTATCAAATGTAGATACCGTCCTGATCATCAAGGTCTGCTGTGGCCCTTTGGAGCATCATGCTAAAGAAGATGGTGAATAGGGTAGGAGCGAGAACGCAGCCTTGTTTCACACCATTCTTAATTAAGAAGGGCTCAGAAAGTGTGTTGCCATATCTGACTTGGCCGTGCTGATCCTCATGGAGTGAGATGATCATTTTAAGGAACTTGGGGGGACAACCTAAACATTCCAAAATCTGCCACAGACCTTTTCTGCTCACAGTATCAAAAGCCTTGGTGAGGTCAACAAAGGTTACATAGAGACCTTTGTTCTGTTCCCTACACTTCTCTTGCAGTTGTCTGAGGACAAATACCATGTCTGCGGTGCTCCTGTTGGCTCTGAAACCACACTGACTTTCAGGTAGAATTCCTTCTGCTATAGTGGGTATTAGTCTGTTCAAGAGTATTCTTGCCAGGATTTTGCCAGCAATGGAGAGCAGAGTAATACCACGATAGTTTGAGCAATCTGATTTAATACCTTTCTTCTTATATATAGTGATGATGACAGCATCACGAAGGTCTGATGGTAGTTCACCGAGCTCCCAACAGCGCACCACAAACTCGTGGAGTTTGGTGTGGAGTGCAAGGCCCCCATGTTTCCAGACTTCAGGTGGAATTCCATCAACCCCAGCTGCCTTGCCGATTTTCACCTGCTGTTTGGCCTTGAGGGTTTCTCCTAAAGTGGGGGCAGTATCCAGTTCATACTTTACTGGTTGTTGTGTGATGGACTGAATTGCTGAATCTTGGACTACACGGTTGGTACTAAAAAGAGTCTGAAAGTGTTCAGACCATCGATTCAGAATGGAGGTTTTATCTGTTAGAAGGGTTTGACCATCAGCGCTGAGTAGAGGGCTTTGTACCTGGTATGTAGGCCTGTATGCTGTTTTCAAGGCCTCGTAGAAACCTTTGTGATCACCTGTATCTGCGCATAATTGGTTTTTTCAGCTAGATCGATCCACCACTTGTTCTGGAATTAACCATAGACAGAATTAGTGAATAGCTTTCTAGTAATAGTACCTCAAGGTTGCCAATAATTTCATTTGGGATTTCACACTCTGCAGACTTCTGATCTTCAGCAGTGACACCAGCCACAGCATCTGCCTTGGAGGACTCTGCCTCTGGACAGGGCTCTTCCAGGTAATCCTCCTGAGCAGACCCCTGGCAGCGACCACCCACAGGAAACACGTGAGTTAGAACATCATCCTGCCCTCCACAAGACCAAACAGCACCAGCCAAAGACATGCAACAATACATGGAGTTGCTTTCGGGAAGTGCTGCTCTGAAAGGGACCAGCAGTCCCTGCGCTGCCCAGGCTGGCAGAGAGGTCCTGAGGTGATGAAGTTACAAGGGGGGAGAGCCCAGAGGTGATGTCTCAAATAAATGTCCTCTGCTGACTGATTAATGCATTAAAAGTAATTTCATTCAATCTTAGAAGAGAATGTATGTTATATTCTGGAGAATAAATGTCATCAGTGACTGGGCTCCAATGGGAATTCATAGGAAAATAGCTCACAAAAACCCCAAAATAAATTAAAAGGAACAAAACCCTACACCTGAGATTCTGTTGCTGCAGCTGAGGAGGGAACTGCAGGTTGGTCAAGTCCAATCCCATACTCCTGGTGCTAGAAAAAAAAAAAAAAAAGAAAAAAGAAAAAGAGTAATTCAGGTTTAATCATTACTCAGAGGTTTCTTGCAGTTTTTTTAAAATGGAAATGAAATGCCTGGCAAGCAACAAAAAACAATACCTTTTCTGTTACTATCCAGGTGCTCAGAACTGGAATGCATTCTGAAAATGATTATAGATCAGCTTTAATTTCTAGCTGCCTCTCAAGGGGCCCTCTTTATAATAGTTGGAAAGAACAGATGATTTTCATAATTTCATAACACTACAGCTTCTTACTCATGTGGATAATTACGTTCAGAAAACACGGTGCTTAGATAACGTGCTGTCTTCCCAGTGCAAATTTGTCACCTCTGAACAGGGATCTTTTTGCAATTTGGAATTGCAGGGCTCTACCAAAGGAGTCAGCTGGACTAAAGTTGTAGTGACACTGCATCAAGTAAGGCCCTAAGAAAAATATTTTAATATGTGACTATAATTTAAGAGCTGCTAATGGTCTGAGTTTTGCTGCTTCACATCGACTCGCTCCTTTGCTGAGAATATGGGAACCTCACTGGTATTGTGCTGGTGTGTGAGCTGCAGCTCCAGGAATGCTCGGAGGGAATGGCTTTTCCCCCTCAGAGCAGCTGGATGAAGAACCTAGTGCTCAGGTTCTAAGAAATGATGCAGAAGGCAGCCCCACGTCCTCTAAAGGGACAAGGTTTTGTGTCCTATTAAAAAAAAAAAAAAGGATGACAGAGAACATATGTGCCAAACAGGGCGAAAAAAGGCATATCTGAACATGCAAGGAACAGGGAATAACACCAAAATTGTATGTTTGGGGCCTCTGAAAGGGGAAGTGCCCATCGAGAATACAAGGCAGATGTTCCAGTTCTGAGTCAGCGATTACAAACAGGATTTTGCTTGGATGGTGTAAGTAAACGACATTAATTCACATCAGGGTAATTGCAGCTCCCATAAATTAATTTCCCCATGCTTTTGAAATCATGGCTAGGTTGATATTTGGTTTATTTAGTTACTTGTTACAGTTACACATGCTGAAAATATCAAAGATTCTATGCATCTACAGAAGTGATAGCAAAAATTGAAAACAAAAAGTGAGACCTAGCCACTTTATTACATTAAAAATCTCTTTTGTAGTCCTAAAAGCTTTTCAGAACTTCTGTTTGGACATTGTCACTATCTTCAAGATTCGTTGTCATGTGTGAGCTCGCTAAAAAAAAAGGCAGACAGTATCAGCCCATGTTTATAAGAACCCAAAAGGCTGACAGAAATATTTGCAGACAATAAGTGGGGAGGAAAACAGGTTTATAGAAGCATTTTCCTCTATTGCTTGTAATTCAAATTTTCAGCACTGTGTTAGTGCCTACGGACTCACAAAAGGAATAGCTAGAAAGTTTGGGTTTTGCAACAAAATTAAAAAGCTGAGCTAAACTGTATTTTTGCTAAAATAAAAAGATTCTTTGTTTTCAAATTCTATTTTTTTAAACTAGAGCTTTTTGATTTAGCAGCTATATCCATTTTCTCTGATTTCTTACCTTATATTTTCTTATTAAAATATTAGCTGAACTAGATGAGAATTCACAATTACTTTCTGCTTCCTTAAAGCAGTATTTTTTGGTTAGTTAGTTACCTATTCACTCAAAATTTTCTTTATTTAGACTAAATCATTATTACATTTATTCCCTCTGGTCCAAATTAAAAAAAAAAAAAAAAAAAAAAAAGACCTGGTTTTTAGAATCAGTTCCAAGCTGATCAAACACTTTTTTGTAGCATGGATAAGATTTTCAGAGGTTCTGTTTTTTTAGAATAATATTTTTACTTCACTGCGTCTTTTTACAGAGAGCCATTCTTTAGTCATCTGTTCCATGTCTAATAATAACCCTTGGATCATTAAGAAATAACTAAATTACAGCAGAACTAGTCTCTTTAATGAGCCATAATAGTCCCAACATTCAGCCAAAAGTTTTTTTTAAAAGACTGTGCAACTTCAATGTAGAATATGAAGCATTTTGTTTAGTAATAAGAAGTTTATGAGCAGCTCTACAGTTTACAGCCAAAATATAGTGACCTAAAAATGCCATTCTGCATTGCTGCTTCCTATACATTGTGTCCTTAACAAGTCCAGGGGAAAATTAGAATGAATGAATTGTGGTGAGAGCCCGAAGCCAACAAACGTATTTAAATGAATCCTTCTGATGCAATACTTTCCTTTAAAAAACACAATTAAGTCTTTGTGTTTCCTTTGAACAAAACCTCATGTTTAATAGCACCAATGGTTCTGTAGTAAAATCTATTTAAAAACAGAGAAGGAGACACAGTAAGTTTTATACAGTTACAGTGGTTTTAAAAAAATGTTGCTGGTTTCTGAAGTCCGAGTAAATTTATGGTGAATTACTTCCACTGACCTACATTAAAAACTTCATCCTCCTTTTTTTAATTCCTGAAGATTTGTCATTATGTGAGCATTATTCACTGTGACAAAGATGTATGACTCAAAATGTCCTCTTGAATCAATATAACTATCGAAATGTGAGAAACAGTTTGGCAAGATGATAATGCCTTAAAATTAATTGGCAATATTTTCCTGCACACTGTGGTCTGGTGGGTCCATGGGAATTCAGACATAAAGGAATTGTGAAGCAATCGCACAAATGTAGCTGGCATATCAGTGCCAGCTGCTCTGAAAGAGCTGGAGGAAGAATTAAGTGCAATATTCCTATTAATTCCTGGGTGTGGTGGGGTTCCAAAAGGCCACTTGAACCCAGACAAGTTGGAGCAGGCTGGAGGCTGAGCTGACACCCAGCAGAGGTTGGTTGGGAAGTGTGGTTCAGCGTCACCTTCACTTTCCCACCCCAGTTATATCAGGCCAGCTGAGAACTGCAGGCACTGCTCTCCATGGACAGCCCCATGTCACAATTCCACTCTGGAATTCTTTCTAGCACAAGTGTGCATAAAGAGACTGAAGTATAAAAAGTGTAGTGTTGTTCTGTACATAAAACCACATACTTTTCTTGTTGTTCATGGCTAGCAAAATGCCTTTTTACAAATGTAGGCAGAGAAAAGATAATAAAATAGTACACAAGAAAATTTCTAAAATGGGATAATGGCAGAAAAAAAGATTGGTAAAGCATTCTAATAGATGAGTTCCACAGATGTGGTAGTTATTACAAAATTAGCTTTGCATAACTTACCAATATACCATTACATTTCCCCCCAGATGTTATCTGTTACTTAAATTAATTTTGCTTAAGTTACTATTATTGCAGATTTTATCCACGCTGTGTTTTATTATTTAAGTTTCTGTGGCATAAAACAAGCCCTGGCTGATAGCATTACTTTTAATAATATATATAAGAGGTTTTAGTATTATAGAAATGGCTGCTGGGTATATCTTAATAGTCATAGCACAGAACGTCTGCTCTCAAAATATTATGTAGATTAAAACCAGCTATTTACTTACACTCTAATTCAAGTCATTGGAAAGGTTTGCAGTTTTTATGCACATGGTATGAAAGGAAACAATCTACTTCAGGAATAAATATCAGAGTTTGGAAATTAGCAAAGCTAAGGTCAAGGTCAGTTTGGATTTACTAACATACTTGCTGAAAATGAGAATTTAGAGTTTATGTTTACTTATTTCATAAACGAGAAAAGAGACTGAGGGGGTGGTGCATTTGCCTCTAATACATGGCTTTTGTATCACAGAAACATTTTGAAACCACCTTCTAAGCTTAATATTATCTGAAATTCTGTACTCCTTTCCACACAGTCTTAACACAAATTCTCTGCAGTTAATCTTACCAAACATAGGAAAATAATTATTTATAAGGACTGAAAAAAAAAAAAAAAATCCCATGTTCAGCATGGGCCATTTCTAAAGCCTTGTAACATCTTTCAAAGCCTTTCCATGGATATGGATTTGATTTTATATGAATGACAGATGCATTTTAAAAAGGGAGTTCTTTGTGTTTTATTCTCTATATTCATATCACCTCCGTAGTTTCCAGTTGTAGGCCACAGGATCCTGTGCTACCAGGGACCTCCACAGATTTCTCTCATATATATGTGAGATTTGCTATCAAAAAACTCTGTAACACTGGATTTACATTAGTTTGCTATTCATGCTAAGCTTGCCCAGCCACACTCCTACAAATGTGCTGAATTTCAGCGGCTGGAACAAAAGGCGCTTTCAAGAGATGGTTTGTTTAGGTGCCTGTATTTCATGTGGTTGGATTTGAATGAATACCTAATGGACAGAGATGCACTGACTCAAACCAGGCAGCCTTTTTTCATCCTTCCTCTTTAACCTGCCAGCATATGCAAACACAACAAACCCACCCCACCTGCCTGCTGAGGCATTGCCCACCAGCCGTTCCCACAGGAGGCTCCTGGGAGGCTGCCGGTACCTCCACAAATACATTGGCCATCCTATTTTGCAGCAACACTACACATAAGGATTTTAGGAAGTGCTCAAAAACTTAATCCAGATTATTTTATCGCTGTAGTGTGGCAAAGATGGCAGAGCTTCCTTCTAAATGCCCTTGCTGTATGCAATTGTATTAATATTAAAAGTAGAATTAAGATCAATGAGGGCCTAAAACTCTGCCTCTGAAGTATGTTCCCGAGTTGCTAATGATGCACATGGAAATTCTGTGTGCATGTTCCTGGGCAGGAGTTTTCAAAATACTATTCCTAAATGAGACAGAAGTTCAGTGAGTCAAAAGTAGGCATTATGCTCTTTTTCCTGCATTTCAAAACCTACGTTAATATGTTTTAAAGAGAGTTTTCCGTGTTCCTGAGATGAGATGTGAATTGACTTTGTTGACAATACATTAGTAATTAATCTAGTCCAAAATAGCTATCTGAAGCAATTTGGTGCCTACATTGACAAAACAGGATCTCCTCCTCCCCCCAGGAAGCTGTAAATCAGTCAGTGACATCTGGCCTCAAGGACATCAGAGTCATCTGAAATGTGGTAATTTATATTAATGAACATCA